CCCCCGAACCCGGGGCACGCGGACACGGTCGGAAGCATCCCGTGGGAAGCTGCATCCTCTCTCGACACGCACCCGTTCCCCGCCGCCTCCGCGCCTACCAAACCTTGGTCTCTGGAACCCGGTGGAACTTTCCAGGCTTGCCTGCCTGCCTGCCTGCCTTCCTCCCCGGGGCGCTAGGGGCGAGCGTGTGCGCGTGCGCCGCGGTGCGGTGCGCTGCGGTCTGGCTGGTGTGCGCCCCTCGCCCCGCGTCTCCAGGGAAGGAAGGCGGGGTGCTCACGAGAGGCTGGTGCACCAAGCCGCAAAGAAACAAGCCTGGACCCGAAGGGCTAATATGGGCGTTTTGTTGTGTGCGCCTTGGCCTGACCCAAAAGCAGGCTAAGGATGCGACTCTAGGCAATCATTCTTTAGAGGTTACCCCTGCTTTCAGGTAGAGGATCCTGAGAGTTCCCGATGGAGTACAGGAGCGACGAGGGGCGTCGCAGATGGTTCCAGGTCCAGCACTCCCCAGCACACACTGACACAGAGACAGAAAGCCAGGGCTTCCCTTCCAAATAGAGTTGGGTGCTGTTTTCTTAGCTCTGCTCCTAAGGCACTGATCCGCTGCTGCTGTCCCCTGCTCCCAGCCTACCCCGCCAAAAGGCTCTCTAGCTGAAATGTTCTTGTAACTTTACAGGGCTCTAATGACTGGGAGTAATTTATTGAGCGCTCACTATCTGTATCTGGCACAACACTAAGGTTGCAAGTGTTCTCACACCAGCTCTGCGAAGCAAAGCGTATTCGCCCTATTTTAGGTATTAGCAAATATAAACATGCAAGGATAGTTTAATTAGTCCAAGGTCGTAGGCATGTAGAAACACAATTTGGGGCCCAACTTCTGAAAAGCAGGTTCATTACCTACACTTCTGGACCGCACCCCCGCCCCCCACCTCACAAGCCAAGATGTTAGTCATGCTCAGTGGCATTGGACATCTTTGTAAAGCACAAATGGAGACTATCTTCGTCACCTCCTCCACAAACCATTTAGAGTTTCCTGCCACCAGAGATGAAGGTTTTGAATACAACCTGTGATGCCTGGGTTTTCAACATTTTCATTCCTCAGGTTTGCCCATAGCCCGCACCCTTATAGACAGAAACTACACAATCCAAATCACCTACCTAACAGCTACCACACTCCCGTTGGTTTGTTTTATTTTGTTTTGTTTTGTTTTTTAAGACAGCATGCTATAAACAAAGAACAGGAGGAAGAAAGAATTTCTGGACTTTTCAGAAGTGAATTCCAGATCTGTCTAGCATCCCACTTCAACTGCGCTTCCAGTTACCAATTCCACGGTCCAGTTTAGGAATGAGAAGATAGGAAGGAGTCCCACATTCCCAAACCAAGCAAAACACTAAACGACACTGAGCTAACCACCCTGGAGCGTCTCCTCCTGGAGGAACCACAGGCTCTGCCTGAAGCCCAGGGAGGTTTGAAATCCTGGTTCTCTACCTTGACAAGTGGAGTGAGGAAATCAGCCAGATCGCACAATGCCTCAGGGCAGGTGCGCCCCATAACCCTCCCAAGTCGTTAGCCAACCCCACACTCATCCCATTTCTTAAATGGAAAAAGAAATTAGCTATCCTAATTCCCCCTCCCACTTCAATTTTTTTAAATAAGTGGTTGTGACTTCATTCATTTTTTCCCTAAAATCATGAGAGATGATGATGCAAATTTAGCATCTTCCAACTAAAACTGCAAATTGAAATCCATCAAAATAATTTTAAATTGTATATATACTATATTTAGCAAACATAGAAATATAAGCTATCTCTATAGTATTTAGTGTATTGATCTAGAAAACACCTTTTAGGGTCTTGAAAAATATCTAATATGGTAGATGTGAAAGATTTTACTAACCAAAAATTTACTAGTAAATTCTTCTGAGGAAAAGAGAATAAAAACAGAAGTTGAAATCAAATATGCCCCGGGACAGTTTAAACACCTCCGCCTTCTCGTTTTCTATTACTGTATGGGAGACTTGACCTTGAGCTTTCCATCACAATACTCAAAGATGGCTGAGACGTTTTATGGTTATTGCCAGACCTAACATTTTGAGCATTCGCTGTGAGCCAGGAAGCATTGTAAGTGCTTTGCATGTATTAATATTCAGCTCTGACCATAAAGATGGGAATTATCACTCCCGCCGTTCACACAGGAAGTAAGTGAGGTTTAGTAGATCTTCCATCACTTGCCCCAAATCAGCCAGAACTCTGGACTTGCACACTTAACCCCCGGCGCTTCACCGCCTCTCAGGGACCACTAGCCAGTGTAGCAGCTACTAGTTCACCAACTTCTCCGCCGGCGCCTCCCCCTCCAGCACCGACACTAAACCCTCCCTGAAGGCTGCTTCCTTCTCCCCTCAAACCACTGTGAGTCTGTTTTCACTTTTCTTAAGCCTGTTGCTCTCTCAGCTTGTCTTTCTTTTCAACCACATTTCTCAACGGTATCCAAACCTACCCTGCCCCTTTCCAGACTTCCTAGGTCCTGTGCGCGCTGGCTATCACTAGGGGGTCTCCTCATCTCCTTTCCAGGAGCTGTTTCCCAGGCATCTCTGTCAGGATCCTGGCTGCCATCTTGATCATCTCTTCAGAGTCCTTTTATCCTCCCGGGACATGAATGTGGCTGTTCTCCAACAGAGGCAGCATCCTGGTAGCTAGGATCAAAGGCATGGGGGAGCCATAACCCAAGTGCATTGGAATTTGGCTGGGGGGAAATTTGAGTTGATCTGCCCTGCCAGGATCCCGGTCTCCTGTGGTAGGGCAGGTGGGCAGTGGAAAGTGTATAAAATCCAGTGAGTTCCCTGTCTGTAGATAAGGAATCTGATAAGGAAACAAGGTAAATTATTTATCCCAAGTCACACAGCCCTGGGCTGGCACAGCTCAAAGGAAAACAAGAAGACAGTTTTGCTTACCAACCTGTTCTTGCCATCTGTGGGCTCCAGCCTTGGGTTTTGCTGTTGTCCGTCGATTAATCTAAAGAGTGCAGGACCCTCCTGCATCTAAACGATGAGTTCTGACTGTTCCTGGGGAGAGGCGACCCATATACAAATCACTGTGCTTGTGAACCCTGCTGTGCCTAAATACATCCTCCAGAAAGTGAAGGAATGTGGCTTGGGGAGATGGCTGATCAGTTAAGAATGTTTGCTGCTCTTCCACAAGACCCAAATTTAATTCCCAGCACCCACATCACAACTACCGGTAACTTCAGTTTCAGGGAATCTGGTGCCCTCTTCTGGGCTCTGAGAGCACCTGCACACACACACACACACACACACACACACACACACACACACACACGGGGGGGGGGGTTACACATAATTAAAAATAGAAAGTGGAGAAGTATATAAGTCTTCAGTTAACAGATGAATGATCGTGTGTAGCATTAAACCGTGTTCTAATCTGTTAGCCACGGCTCTTCATCCACCTGTCATCTTCTCCCTCATGAAAAGGAGATTCCCTTAAAGGCACACTGTATGTATTTCTTGAATCTCACCTCAGTTGGAACTGGGATTGCTCCACAGCCCTCTACTCCCATGACCTACACCTGTGAGGCCTGGCATGCCTGCCCGGTGTGCCTGCCAGGTGTGCCTGCCTGGTGTGCCTGCCGGGTGTGCCTGCCGGGTGTGCCTGCCTGGTGTGCCTGCCGGGTGTGCCTGCCGGGTGTGCCTGCTGGGTGGCTCAGTGTGCATTAGTGTTTGTCAGTCAGTGGACTGATTTAGGTCACAGCATTTCAAACTTACTTTGTTTTTAACTATTTTACCTGTGACAGCCCCCCCCCCATCCCCGTCTTTCCTAAACGTTTACATTCAACCTTCATGGACCCTTGCCTACCTTTTGGCCATACCCACCTACCTCGGATTCTCTTTCTTCTCAGTAAGTGTGGACTAATCCTTGCTGTCTAGATCATGTGCTATCGTGAAAGGAAAAAAAAAAAAAAGCTAACATCTTCATGGCTATTTCCCTTACCTCACCCTCTCCTGTTGAAAAGAGAGAAGTTGGTGCTGGAGAGACGGCTCAGCAGTTAAGAGTGTACGCTGCTCTTGTGGCGGATACAAGTTAGGCTCCTAGCATGTATGTGTGTCAGGTATGTGGCTCACCCCAGAGGAATCCAACACCTCTAGCCTTTGTGAGTGACTGTGTGTGTGTGTGTGTGTGTGTGTGTGTGTGTGTGTCTGTGTGTGTCTAAAACACATACCATTAAAACTGATAAAAATAAATTTTCCTTAGAAAAGCTATGGAATGTCCTTTGGGAGATGTCCTCACCACATTTTCTAGTAAAGAGATACTTAATACATTTTTTAAACTATGATTTTAAAAAGGCAAAAATACTTCCGCTGTCCCCACTTGCCACGTTAGTTTTCCTTTGCTAACAGTGTTGTAGAGTGTCCCCCAACAGCTTGTCACAGGCCCACAAGGGTCCTTGATGTTCAATGTCAATAACACTGGGAGGACAAAGCAGCTTTTCCCTCCACCGCAGCAAAGCCGTAAGAACGCTCTGGAAACATTGTTCAGAGTTAGCAAAAGGGGGAAGACTGAGAGGAGACCAACACCACCTGCCCAGGGGTTCCAGGAGATAGGACTTCCTGCCTCAGGCACTGGATGAAGCTCTGAAGAGCATTCCTCCAAGCGAGGCCGGGGAGCGCAAAGTGTACCTGGGCCAGGCCTGCTCTCCACGAGGAGCTCTAAAATCACAGGTGGGAAGAGAGAAGATGGAGCAGGAAAGGACTGGAAGGGGCCGAGTGTGCGCAGAACGCAGAGAGACGTGCTACAGCTATTGTAGCAGGCAAAGGGGGAGCCCCTCGGCCATTGATGTTGAGGAAGACATGTTGGGACACCCAATCTGTAGCCCTCAGGACTGGATGTTTGAGTCTCCGCTCATCCTGAGCCAGTTTTGTTTGGCCCACGTGTCTTGGGGATGTCCTCAGCTCTTAATTCCTAAGGCTCATTTCACAATTTAATTCATTTGTTCTCCCTCATGGCATACGACTTTCCGATGTGCTACAGTGGCATCTTTTATTACTCTGGTCTAAACAGTCAAGGAGGACAGTCCCACAGCAGGCCACCCTGAGTCTGGCTTTCAAATGACCCTGCCACCTTTAGAATGTTGACAGATGGTGTCATGACCACCAGCCAACACTTCCTGGTCAGGTCAATGTTCAAGAATCGCCTGTCTGTGAAGACCATCCCACCCTCTGCTTGCGGGTGTGGTCTGGAGGTGGCTCTCGTGTGGACAGGGGAACATTGTGTTCAGACTGGATTGAACAGAGATTAGTCACAGGAATCAGTGTTGCAGGCACCAAATTATGCTCAACAGTTATTCAGCACACGTTGGTTCATGGTAAAGATTGTCTGAATAAATAGTTCTGGCCTGGAGCTGAACTGTTTTGGGCTTCCTTTTTAGTATGGGACAAGACAACAGATTCATTGAAAAGAAAAAGAAATAAATGGGGATTGGAAAGATAGCCCAGTGGTTGATAACACTTCCTGCTCTTCCAAGGGATCTGAGTTCCCTTCCCAGCACTCACATGGGGAAGCTCCCACCCCCTGTAACTCCAGCTCTAGGGGATCTGATGCCCTCTTTTGGCCTCTGCAGGGACATGCACTCATATGCATGTACACACACACACACACACACACACACACACACACACACACACTTCAAAATAATACAAATAAATCTTGTTTTTAATGTATGCAGGAGGCAAAAGGAATTCCAACATAGAACATGAGACATAAATAAATAATCTTTTGCAGTGGAAAAGACATCTCATAGTAAGCTAAAACTCCTCAAAAGCAGATATGAGGGAAATTTTCTTGTTTTTGAGTTTAGGATGTATTAAGTTGATCTATACCATTCACTATATAATATATGTATGTGTTTAGATTGTTTTTATTTTAAAAAATAAATCTAGTGGCAACAATATCAGTGGCTATCTATGCTATTGGGGGTAGGGGGTAGAAATCCCTCATGTACAATCAAAATTACAAGATAATCAGGAGATTTCAGATGGTACTTTTCTGTATAATTCATCTTGAACTGAGAACCTAAGAGTGTATGTAGGATCTATCTAGGGACTTTAGTTCCCAACTTGAACACAGGAGCCCCTCCATGCTGAGAAAACTTTGCGCTGACCAGATGCTCTATTATTATTGCAGACAGAACAAAGTCATTTTAGCGGTATGCTAAACATCACATGCGGCATTACTAGATTATTAGGTTATCAGATGGTGCCTACACAGGGTTAACTTTCAGCAGTCATTAACTGTTTTCAGACCCTCCGATCCTTTATTCTTTTTTCTTCTTTGCTCTAAAATACCCAAAATCTAAATGAGATGGTGTCTAGGATCAGGATGACACTTCCTCTTCAATCAAATGTTAGCCTGGAGCAACAGGAGAGGAGAACCTGCCCCGGTCCTCAATGACTCTGATTAAGAAGTGACAAGCGCCACTGCATCAGCAGCAGCTGAGGAGGGCCACTGGTCATCTTGGGGGCTCCGAGAGCAGTGCTACTGAACTGGACTCAAGCTGGGTGCTCACAGCCTCTTGGATGCAGGCAGAGCTCGGGGTAATGCCACCTGCAGTAGCAACACCCTCCAGACTCAAACCCTCGACTCCCCACCTCACTACCACTCACCTGGGTACCATGAGGCACATCCTCCAAGACGTGGTGGTCAAAGGCTTCTTCTGAACGCAGGTCTGATTCCATCTCTCCTCAGCCTATATATGGCAGTGGCTCCCCACTGCCCCCAAGGATGAAGTCCAGATTCCTCCGCAGGGCTTATATAACCCTTCTTTCTGTGGGGTCCCTGCCTGCTTCCATTCCTTTGGCCACCCCTGGCCACACCATTTCACCATCAATCATTCCATCCCGTTAGCACGCCTATAGCTCCTCATGCCTATTCCCTGTGGACTTCTGCCTTCTGCCTGGAGTGAACATCTTTCCGTTCATCTGGTCTATTCCTATTCCCCCCACTTTTTTATTATGAACTATATCTTATATGCAGACATTGCACAAAGCACATGTAATCTAAAGGAGCGTCAGCTAACAACCCTTTCCACACCTCTGTAGAAACACCACGGATCCCCTGACCCTTTCCTTGCTTTTCTTCATAGTCTTTATCTTTTGTGTACACGTTGCTAAGCAACAGCGTGTTCCTGCTTGTTTTGAATGTTGTGTGTCTTGTTCTCCCCCCCCACCCAACACTAGATTGATGAGATCTATCCAGTCATTGAACCCAGCTCATTTTCTCTGCGGATACAGCATTGTCCAACCAAACCGACGTGGCTGCCTTCTACCATCGGTGAGGATGGGCTGGTTATCGGGTGGACAGTTATCACCAACAGTCCTGCTGGGAACATTCTTGCACTTGTGGACTCATATTTAGATGTACATGTGTGAGTGTTTGCTGAGACCTGGCCCTAGGAGTGGAATGTACCTTCACGGTACGCAAAACTTCAGCTTGTCCAGCTAATTGCAAAAGGTTTTCCGCAGCAGCGGGCACTAATCAGCAGTTTCCTCCACAGTGTGTGTGATTTTGATAACTCCCGTTCTGCATTTTGACCCCTGCCCCCTAAGAAAGCCCACTCAAATTCTCAGAGACTGGGCCAGCGTGCTGGCTAGTTTTATGTCAGCTTGACACAGGATAAAGTCATCTGAGAGGGGGGAACTTTAAGAAATGCCTCCATAAGATCAGGCTGTAGGCAAGCCTGTAGAACATTTTCTTAGTGATTGATGGGGGAGGGCCCAGCCCATGGTGGGGGGTGCCATCCCTGGGTGCTGGGTGCTATAAGAAAGCAGGCTGAGCTAGCCATGGGGAGCAAGCCAGGAAGCAGCACCCTTCCATGGCCTCGGCCTCAGCTCCTGCCTCCAGGTTCCTGCCCTGTGTGAGTTCCTGCCCTCACTGCTTTCGAGGAAGAACTGCACTTGGAACTATGAGTGAAATAAACCCTCTCCTCCCCGACTTGCTCTAGGCCGCAGTGTGTCATCCCAGTAGTAGTAGTAACCCTCACTAAGACAGTTAGGTACCCCTTCTCCGCCTTCTATCGTTACCTGTCCTTCCTCCGCCACCACACTAGCATACCTGATTATCCGTGATGGATGTGGAAAGATGCTGGCCAGGTCCCCAGTTTCTGTTCCTCCAGGCCACTGCCCAGTTAGGCTAAAACTACACATTCCTCAGGCTTCTACTCCCCATCAGTGACTGTGGTGTTGAACAAGAACTGTGCCACGTAGGCTATGGTATGTAAACACTTGGTCCCCATTGGTGGAGCTGTGCTGTTGGGGAAGGTTATGAAGCCTTTAGGATGTAGAGCCTTGCTGAAGGAGTGCGTCACTGGGGTGGGTTTTGAGGGTTTATATCCTAGCGCCACTTCTGGCTCTCTCTCTTCTTCTCCTTCTTCTTCTTCTTCTCCTCCTCCTCCTCCTCCTCCTCCTCCTCCTCCTTCTTCTTCTTCTTCTTCTTCTTCCTGTTTATAATTGAGGCTACGATCTCTCAGCTCCTGTTCTGGCAACCAGCTGTCAGTCATTCCTCCCTCCCCCACCATTACACAGACTCTCCCTCTGGAATCGTAAGCCAAAAAAGAATTATTTCTTCCATAAGTCACTTTTGGTCACAGTGTTTATCACAGCAGCCAAAAAGGCACTGATACAGTGGCTGAGTGTAATGGAAGGGTGAGGTCAGATTGGTGTCTGACGTATAGGGACTGTCCTAACAAAGGTTGTTACATCCAGAGTACGCAGGGAAAGTCAGAATTCAACCATAGGAAAACAACCTAGTCTCTTAAATGGGATACAGTGTCCCTGAGGAAGGCAAAGGAGGCAGCCATCAATGGCATGTAATGATTTGAAAAGGTGTTTGTAGTGGTACTTTCTTGTCATAACTGTCAGCCTGCAAATAATGACATGGAGACTTATTAATTATGAAAGCTCAGCCTTACTTAGACTTGTTCCTAACTAGTTCTTATGACTTAAATTAATCCATATTTTTTAATCTACGATTTTCATGTGGCTCATCACCTCATCTCCAAACTGCCCATCCTGCTTCCTCCACATCTAGCTGGTGACTCCATGACTCCATCTTTCTTCTTCCCAAAGTCCTCTCTCTGCATGGAAGCCCCGCCGATTCTCTCCTGCCCAGCTGTTGGCCATTCAGCTTTTTATTACACCAATCACAGCAATACACCTCACACAGTGTACACTACAGGTGTTCAGCATGATCATTTCTAAGCAACTACAAATTAAAACTGAAGTGTGGTATTACTGCACGCCTTTTAGAACAGAGAAAATTAAAGGACTTAAATGACCAAGTGGAGGAGATGGAGCTGCCGAGACACTCGGCGGTGGTGAAAATAGAGAGTTGGCACTTCCTTAAAATGTCTTATCCAGACATCATGTGACTCAGCCATGCTGGTCTTACTGCCACATGATGAAGAACGGCACACGAGCAACTCCTCACAAGAGTGAGAACTGGAAACCACTCAAATGGCCATCGGGAGGAAAATGGCGAAGCAAGTTGTTGCATAACCACAGGATGAAATACTGCTCGGCACTATAAAAGAACGAGTTATTGGCATCGTCAGCAACACGGACGCCTCTCGATGAAGCTAATTTGGAAAAAAGTAGATTTTAAAAAGTACATATTGAATGTGTCCATTAGTATACAATTTTTTTAAAAAAATGAAAAATGGCAGTGGCATAAAACACCAATTGTTGCTTTGAGTAGGAGTAAGGCAGAAATTAGAAGGTGCACAAGGAAACTTTGGGGGCCTTGTGGTTAGATTTTTTTTTATCTTGATTAAAGCAATGATTTAGTGGTGTGTACTAAATCAAATACTATCAAATATTTAATATCAAATATTATCAAATGTCTTATTTGCTGATTAGTTTGTTTTTGCAGTACTGAGATGGAACCCACAGCCTTGTACATGCTAGGTTCATTCCCTGAATGAACCTTCATTCCCATCCCTTTATAATGTTTATTTTGAAACAGGGTTTTATTAAGTTGTCTAGCATAGTCTTGAATTCTCTGTTTAGCTCAGATAAACCTCAAACTTGCAATCCCCCTGCCTCAGTCTTCTAAGTAGGTGAGATTACAGGCATGTACCACCATGCCTGGGTAATTATATACTGATTATTAGAAGTCAATTATACCTCAAAATCTGTAAAAACATTCATAGCACTAGTATTCCCTAAGGAGTGAACGTCATTTTAGATTATGGTTGGATGAGTCTATCTGCACGGTCCTCTGTTTCCCCTTTTCCAATTTCTTTTTTTTTTTTTTTTTTTTTTTTTTTTTTTTTTTTGTTGTTGTTGTGATGAAAGCCTACGTGTAAAATTGTATGGATT